CACTGCCTTAGGCAATTCCATAAAGATCTGGAACACTTACTGGATGACATCAGAAGTGAAACCTTATTGAAAAGGAAAGCGATTTTTATTCAGACTATTTTAAAAGTCTTGTTATTTGTATGTTTAACTTGAGACAGAGAAACAGAAGGAAGCTTTTAAGATTCAAATACTTCCCTTAAATAAAGATCTAAATTAACAAAAATGTGCCTACGTATGAGACCACTTTTGATGTCTCTGAACACATGCCAAAAGACTTCCGGCTTTTTTGTTCAACAAAGCCACAAAAAAGGCAGCTGGGAACCCCATGTAGAAGCACGGCATTGTAGATTTGATTACATGCTCTGAGGAGGAAATCGATAGTTCCATAAATGGACAAGGAAGAATGGTACCAATAGTTCTGATGCTACCACTGAAGTGAAACAATTTTTTCTATTATAATATCTATAGCATTTGAAGGCAATAATCCAAGAACATAGGTAAAGGCATTCAGTTCTTATTTCCCCTCCCCCCACCCTGAAGTTATAGTACTATAAACATATGCAAGCTCATTATCCTTTATATCTTTTACAAAAGTAGGTGCCATCACAGCTGTCTCAAACTTTTATGGAACTAACTACTTCCTCCCCAGACCACATGCATTAAATCCACCATGCTGCACTCTTGCACTAACATTGCATTTATTGACCAGCATCACCTCACGTGAACAGACACGAAGTATCAAAAGTAGGATTACTTGAAAATACCAGATAGATCCATTTGGGTCACCTATTTTATCTCTTCAAAAATGCCACTGCCAAAAATTATCCCGCTTTTTATGATACTTCAAATGGTCCTCCTGACATTTGATGTTTGTTTAAATAATTTGCTTCACTCCTAAGTATTGAACAACTACACAGTATGAAATCCTAGGTTAAAGGTCAACGCTAGACTTAAGTGCTAAAATATCAGAATAGTTCTTCGCCCACCCGTCACTGGATTTAGAATAAAATCCTAATACTCTATACAAATAGCGCTTGGGAGTTTACACTTGCCTAGGGATAGTGGAAGTTTTCCCACAAAGAACCAATATCTTCTGGGTAATTTTAAGATTTTTTTTTATTTTAGCCATTAAGGTTGCAAACATTACAAACCCAAACCAAGATTATACCAATGCAGTGTTGTTCCTAACAGTTCTGGTGCCTCTGCTGCTGCTGAGACCTTCCACAAACTACAAAGTGAAAGTTGACCAATGTCAGTTTTGGCTACATTTTTTCCACAATTCTGCTGGAAACAGAGAAACTGCCAGTCAGGTCAATTTGTCAGATATTCAATTAATATATTTTCATTTGACCAGCCCTGACCATATTACCTTTTATATAATATGTATATAGAAAGTTGATTGACCGGCAGTGGGCCATTTAAATGCAGTAGCATAGTACATTTTTTAAATTGATGGAAATGTGGCTTTAATTTGAGGGGCACTGCCTGCCCCTAGGGAACAGGTGTTTTTGTTTGTACGCTTAGTCTTCATTCAGGTTAGTAGGTGGCAGGCAAGTTCTTCCAAGCCTTATCCATAGATACCAATTTTCTCCTGTGACTGGAAAAGAGATTGCTGAAGCCTTTTCTGATTCATGAAAAATAGTAATTCAAGAATGGTATTCTAATTAAGAAATTAAGCTAAAGCTGAACACACAGTTACAGAGGTCTAATCCACAAACGGTCACCCTTACAAGGCTAATTTTTACTAACAGCTACGACATCATGTTATTAGATTTACAAGTTTATTTTTCTGAGGTTGTGTCTACACACACTTGCTCTGGTTTAACTAAATCAGTTTTAAAAGCCACATCCCTAGCTAAGGTGGCTCAAGTTTGTGTGTAGACAAGACAAGCTAGATCAGCGTTTCTCGAATGCAGCCACCGTGGCAGCATGTGGCCACCAAGGGCTTTTCTTGCGGCCACGTCCTCCTGGGCTGTAATCGGGAGTGGCGGGGGGGGGGGGGGTGGGAAGCAGTGGCCCCTCTCCCAGGGCCACTAGTGGAGGTTGGGCCCTGCCCCCCTTCCGGGGAGACAAACGTTGGAGATGCAGGCAGCTGGTGAATGCCCCACTTTCCCAAGGGCGGGTGGGCAGTCTTTGGCCACCGGGCTTCATCCATGCGATAGCAGGCTCTGGTCCCAGGCGCTGGTCCCAGGCTCACCACCCACGCCATCATCCCTGGGCCCAGAGCCTCCCTGCCCTCCTCCCCATCCAGGGCTTAATTTGTCCCAGGGCTTGCCGGGGGCTGAGTATGTGTGCTGTGAAACGTGATATTAACAAACATACAAATATCACATTTCACAGCAGCAGACTTACTAGCTAGCAAGTTTAAAAAAAACACGCAACCAAAAAAAGCAAAACAATAAAAAGACAAGAACATGCAAAACACCTTATTTGTGTTTCTATTTTGTTTATGTCCAGTAAAGAAGAGAGACCACAGTACATTATTTTTATTACTGAGTCTGAAAATAATCCCTACATAAATAAATTACAATGATTTGGACATGTATATATGCATATTTATTTTTCCTAAAGTTAATTAAGTATTTTAGGAAAAAGTCAGCGTGGCCACCAGCAAGAGTTGGTGGTCGCACTCTGCGGCCACCAAAAATTTGTTGTGAGAACCCCTAAACTAGATACTGAAGGGTAATTCTTTTTTTAAAATATTGCAACCACTGTAGGACCACAACACCAACACCACCTGGATACTCCTGAGCACTTGAAAATTGATTTTTAGGATTAGCTTAAAAGGCGACCAAACAGTGCTGCCTTTTTCCTTGATGTCTTATATCCACTTCAAGGCCAGTATCTCTTCTATCCCTTCTCAATGTCAACTCAACCATCTTCTAGCATGTCAAGACTGTCCAGTCTGGTTAGCTTTTCTGTTACATCACATCTCTACCCTGCACTTTACTTTAGCAGCTTCAATTTATATACTGTTCTAGCCTCATCCCTACTCCCCTTCCAAACTCCTTAATTGCCTTACTGCTTAACTAGCTGCTTCATTCTCAACCTCGGAGCTCCACACCACTTCACTCCTTTACATCTCTAGCTGTAACTCCTTGCATGCCTCTGTAGTCGTTAACAGCTCTCGATTTCTTATAACAATGTTTCCATTTTACCCCTTAATCGCAAAAGCACCTTCCCTTCCCTCTATTCCTTCAAGGCCATTTTCTTCATGAAACTTTCCAGGACTGACGACCTCATCATCAGCACCTCTATGCTTTCTGGCAGGTAAATTGTTCTGTACATTATATTTGTCCAAGTGACAATGTAAGTTCCTTAGGGCAGAGATCTTGTATTGAAGTATTTTACAAAGCATAATATTAAACATTAAGTTTACTGAAATAAAAGAGGCTGTAGTCGGAAGTGGGAGTATTTTTAAAAAGTTTGTCTCCTCTTTCCAACTTTTCAATTTTAATTATGTGACTTAAAGATTCCTCAAAAGAGAAACTAATAGCATTACAATCTTTCAAGACCAGGTTAAACAGAACCTAGACCTCTATGTAAGCAGAAGGCACTACTCCAGTGTATTATATAGACCCTTTCTGTTTTTACCATATTCAAATATAAGTAACATACCAGGAGAGCTGCACTGTATAATTGCTTTATTTTCTGCTTATTAATTCTTTACCAACACTACAACCATATTGAGAACACAAAATTCCTGTTTACTGTAGTAGGGAGATGAAAATCTACAGACTCATTCACTTACCAGACAAGAACAATGCCACCAAAAAAAAAAAAAAAAAAAAAAAAAAAAAAAAAAAAAAAAAAAAAAAAAAAAAAAAAAAAAAAAAAAAAAAA